AATTATTAATTTAATTTGGTTAAAGGTTTGTTTAGTTAGTAATAGTAACTATTAGTTTAAATAGTAATAATGATTATTCAGTGGTTAAATTGTAAAAATAACTTAAAATTTAAAAACTTATTAAGCTATCTCTTAATACCTCCAATTTTCTTTTTATATTAAAAAGTAAAAATGAAGTACATACTCCTTAAAAAATGAAAAAAAAATTCTATTCTTCATTCATCATTTAGTTTATTAGAATAATGTAACATTAAAACTTAATTATTTTGATTATATATATATAAAAAGACTTTGAACCTGACCTTTCGGGCTAAGTGGCTCTAATCACGCTTGTAAGCTTTATGTCCCCCTTCCCCAAGACAACGGTTCGAACCGGTCCCATAACAAAATGTTCAAAAAATATATATATATATATATATATATAAAGACTTAACTATTTTTAGATTTTTAATAAATATTTTTTAAATTTAATTTGTTTTTATATTTTCAAAAAAAAAATATTACCATCAACCTAACATAATCAAAAGAAATAAAAGAAGAAAGAAATTGAAGAAAGGTTGTTCACACGAAAATTAGAAGGAGAAAACCGGGTGCGCTCTGCTCTTTAGAGTTGAAGAGAGACTTCATGTGCGAAGTAGAAGCTTGGTGGAGACTGAAGGACAGCCGCCGTATTTATAGAATTCTTTTTCATTTTTATTTTTATTTTCTTTTATTTTGGGTGTTTTAGAATGTTTTTATTTTAATTTATTTGGGTATATTTTACTGGAAATCCGGAAACATAAAATGAAAACTTTTCTTTTTAAATTTAGAAAGAGAAGCTTGCTCACGTATGATCATACATCATGGGCAATATGGGAATTCTAACTCCCTATAGTTTTTGAGTTTATTGAAATGACCCCCGCTATTTTATTTTGTAGCTGAAGTTTTAAACCATTCCCACAAGCTAACAAGCACTCAGCTCTTCTCTTGCTTACATCCATGTGGTCCAGCACATTTCCAATCCAACTTCCCATTTCCCTTCTTTCCTTCCTTTTCCTCCTCTTTTGCACAATTGTGTCCTTTCAATTAAAAACTAGAAGGGAAAAATGGGAAAGATTTTATATTTATTATTATGAGTTATTTATTTTACAGTTTAGATTGTACTAAATTATAAAACAAGAATTATTAGATATGAAGAAGACCCTAATATCAAAAGATCTACTCTCTATTTAATGATAAATATTATACAATCCAATACAATATAGATTGCATAAGACCTTTTTCTATTATTATTATTATTTCCTCCGATTTTGGCCCAAAGAAGTTGGAAGATCAATGGCATTCATTTATCAAGTAATACTTCTTAGGGCTCCCCACTACTTTCTCTTTAGTTTGAGAATAGGAACAAAGATGTTATGATTATCATCACAATATATCATTATATGAGTAATTTTTCTTATTTAAAAAGTCATGTGATATTATATTTATTTATTTATTTTAATATTATATGATTATCATAAATTTATAATACTACATAACATTATAACTATATTATATGATATTATATCCGAGAGCAAATGGAAAGCAGGATTGACGTTTATGGCCATCTTGAGAGACCATGGGAATGCTAGTAAAGCCTATTTTTTTAGTTATTTATAAACAATTTTTTGTCTGAAAAATTTTAAATCTGCTAGAAGAAAATCTACTTTTCATCGTTTAATTAGCTTACAAACAAATTTCATAACAAAGCTCCAGCAAGTTTTATTCTAGAAAAAGTTAATTATAAGAAAATGAAACCTACGAAACAACTCCACCTAGAAATTGTTTCATATGAAATGGCTCAAAATCTTCTTTTCTTCACTTTTTCTAGTTGGGTTTATATACTCCTAGACCAAGACAATAATTAATCAAAAAATAAATATGAAGGCATTCTCAGATTGGTTTATACAATCTCTTCTGTGTTCACAATAATTAACCTCATCTCACTGTTCGTTATTCTTTTTGCTCCACACCGAACTTACCAAACAATGGGATGGGAGACGTTAAGCTTCGGTAACTCCTTAGTTATATTAAGTTCGAAGGCAAAATTTTTAACTTAAAAAATCTCAAAGTCTAATGATTGAGATATCCCCAACAGAATGTTAGTAGTAACAAACATTTTATAAATGAAGAAAAAGTTGAGAGCCATAATATATCAATAGCAGCATGCTAAACCAAATCGATGATAGAGTCTGTTTAACTTAACTATTAACTTCTGTAAAAGTTTTATTTGAGTAAATCTTTTACAAAACTAAGGAATGGAGACGTGATTATGTTTGGCCTAACAATATTGTAAAAGTTCTATCTAAGCGGATTTTTTTTCATTGCAAAAATGATTAATCATGAATTCAAAAAAAAAAAAAAAACCATTAGAAGGCGAGGCAATCAGAACATTATAAAATGGAATCTACAAAATACAAGTCCTGTAAAAATCACCATGCATACTTCCCCGTGGTTATCAACTAAAGCCCCTATTTCCCAAGCTTGAATCTTACAATGGGTAGAGACTAGGGAGGGGTTTGGGAAGAGGAGCGTAATTTGGGTTGTATAGCTCATTATTTAACGTACCAAGAAAAAAAGGATCGATGCAGGATAATCAAGGCACCTACAGGAGAACAAACTTGCATGGAGACTCATTAGGTTAAGGAATTTGTGAGTCCAGAGTGCCATTAACTAACGCATTTTAAAACTTGAGATCAAATGAAAATTATGAAAGCTATGAAAGCAATAATCAACAAGAAAAGAAGATGATGATGATGATAAGATCAATTACCTTTCTAAAGGAAAAGTTTGATGTACAGTGAGATCATCTGTACAGTCAAATTTACATTTTTATTGAGGAGAAGAAATAAATAATGATGAGCCTCTGTCCCTACCTGAGCAGGCCAAGATCAAATGGCACTTTTATGACTGGTTTTTGACAATTTTGACGCTGCTGTAGAAGCGTTTGAGGTCCTTGATAGCCTTCTCCTCAATCTGAATGGAACGGATTGAAGAAGGTGTTTCAATCTCTGGTTTGAACCAGCGATTCATTCCAGGAGAATCAGAAGGTGAACCCTGACTACTTGAAACCGAGAATCCAGCCATTCTTATCTTTGGACTGTGAGAAAGACTCTGTTGTTGTTTCCCCTGTGTTAGCCAAGAGCACAAGAAATCACAATGCTGGATTTACGCAAACTAAACTCTGAGCAAAAGTAAGAATAGCATATGGAAATTTCAGAAGGAAGGACATGATCAAACGGCAATTCACAAAAAAGGAAAAGTTGATACAGTGCTGTCAAGTTACAGAATTGGGGTAAAGTATGTTTTCAATTTTAGAAAAAGTTAACACACCTGCTGCATCTGGATGTCCCTAAGAGATGGCCGAGAAAGATGAGGAGGAGTACCAGAAGCAACCCAAGGAGGCGTGCTTTTTTCTCCATCAGACACTTGTGAAGTTCGAGCTGAGAGCACAGGAACTGGCTTGGAAGCCAAAAATGAACTCAGCAGGACTTTTCCTTCAGTTTTACCATCAGTAAGATCTTCCACCTGATTTTTGGAGCTGGTTTGCAGGTTCACTTGGGTTTTGCTCTGCTCATCCTGAATTTCACGGAGTGAAGCAGATCCCTTTGAAATCTTGGCCCCACCCCACGCAGGGCCCTCACTTCGAGGCATTGGGGGAGGAGGAACAGGTTGTTTTGGGTTGTCATCAAGAGCACCACTCAAAAACATAGAAAGTCCACCTTTCCTGTTCTTCTTCTTGGTGCCTGTTGGCAGCGATGTATTCTTATCCTTGGCCAAGTCTGGACTGTCTATTTTCTCAATAATGAAAGCTGACTCTTTGAGGGGGAGGGGGTCAGCTTTGGCACCATCAGAGATGGGATCTTCTTCCTATCAAAAGTTCACAAACAATTAAAGTAAATATTATGAATTGACTGTGTAGAATTTCTTGAGTAGATCTTTTGCAGATTGCTGAATCATGAATTCTTAAGAAATAATCATAAAAAATTTCAGAAACTGATAACAATTATCAAATTCAGAGGCTTAACAAAAAAAAGATATATTCTAGAAGCAACAGGTTTGGAGCTTCAGCTTTTAAAATTCTAAAAACAACATTTCAAAAAATCAGAAGAGCTTCTCAGAAAACTGTCAGCTTCAGCTTTGCCAGCAGTAAAATACCAGAGAAAATCTTTTAGTAAGCTAGGCCAAACAAGCAATTTTCCTTCCCTTCTGTAATGTGTACCTCTTTTCTTTTCCATCAAAATTGATAACCTCACTTTGAGATGCAAGGAAATGTAAAACAACATGGATAGTAAAAGAAGACAAGGAAAACTTAAGAAAAAAACAATTGCACGTGTAAATTGATGAACAATACTTTCATTTTGCACAAAGTTACAGCTGATTCTAGAATGTTACCAAGAAGTATTACTATACCACTCAGAAATGTAAAATAATTCACTTAATCCAGTATTCAGTGATCATCTGATAAGTTGGCCAAAAAAGTGGCGATCTGATTAGTAAAGGTGTCAATTTTCTGGCTCAGCAACAAAAGGGTCAATTGAAGGCCAAAAATAACAAAAGGGTCAGTTGATTTTTCACAGAACCTAGTAACTGATTCTAAGACTATGATTTGACCACCAAGTACATTAAGATGGATCTTAGATGAACTACTTGAAAAACCGTTACTGCTGAACATCACTCTGATCTTCTTTTCATAGGAATTCATGCAACCACCTTTGTACAAAGTCTTACAATAAAGACACTCTCACTCTCATTAAGTGAAAGAAAGACCTCATATCAATTCATAAAGAGCCCTAACAGGAGTGATTATGACAAGTAAACAGTCCAGTGACAAAGGTGGAATCATAAAGATCTCTTTATTTACCAAAAAGTAAAGAGTATAAGAAAACTAACCTTCTTCTTCAAAGTTTGGATGGTTTCAACAACTGAGAAATCCTTGACAGAGTTTGTATCTAAGTTACCCTCAAAAAAACCAGGAACCATCTCCGATTGCTCTACCCTCTGTTTGCTCTTTCTCCTCTGTTTCCTTGTGTCAGACCTTTTATTGCCTTTCACATCAGTTGAAACAGGTGATGACGCTTTCAATTGTGGAGTTTCAACTGAAACACCTAGTTCAGCAAGAGAACTTTCAAGAGCAGACCTTGTTTTCAGCTTTGCAATTTGTTGGTCGTCAAGAATCTGCCCCTTGGACTGCTTTAACTCAAGCATCTCAATCTGTTGCAACTTTTTACGTAAAGCACGAATTTGTTTAACAACACCCTGGTTAGGATCATCTTTAGGTTGCAGAAAGGAGTCTATTCTGTCCCCTTCATCTTTTGAAGGGAATTTCTTCATGTAATTGTCACGAGTCCTTAGAACCTCACTTTCATCATCATCCCCTTCACTATTGATGACAACTGGAAAGGTAGCTGTCGGAGTTGGGAGTCGACGATAACTCCATAATTCTGATGATCTCAAATCTAACAACTTCTCAAGATTCGCTAGAATATCAAGCGATGTACTTGCAAAAGCTTGTGAAGAGACGGTTAGAATGTAGTCCAAGTTACGAATAGCAAGCTCCTGCATGCATGAATTCAAAACTTGTTATTTACAAATTCCATTTTCTTCTTTTCCCTTAGCATTGGATAGAGGTTAGAGAAAGCACATAATGCCTACCATGATCAAAAGATTTTATAATGTTCTGGATGGTCATATAAAAGTCAACGCAATATCATGAGTTGGGCAAATTAAGCAAAATTAAAAGCAACTAACAGATATAATATAAGTTTCCCTCCAAAATGTTTAAGATCACCAGGGAGAATACCTCACAATGCTTCCTCAGACCATCTGCTCCAAGTGAATCTGCAATTTCAAGCAGCTGCATAGCATTTCTTGGTTCAACCAGAAATTCTGCTGCCGCTCTCTCGCAAAGACTTTTTAAGCTTGGTAAAGGCCTCTCTCCAAAATCCTCCTCATGCAGAGAGGACACCAAGCTTTTGGATTCCCCATCATTAAACACAAAATCTTCATCGAAGTCTTCTACTTCCTCCTTGACATTCAACTTCAGTTTCTGAGGATTTTTAGTGATATTAGGGACATAGGGGGGATGATAGAGAGAACCAATAATCAAGATGTGTGTTTCACCAACTGAAACTGAAGTAGCCCTCTTCACACCATGTAACCGAGTTGCAACCGGTGGTTTGTCCTTTGCTTTCTTCCCATCCCACATGTAAACATCACCTGTAGCTGTAACTGCAGAAGTCCAGTATTTTCCAGCAGAAATGCTCACCACATCTTTTCCACAGAGTGTATACAGCTACAAAAATTCATTAAAAGTACATAAGTAAATAGCACGTTTCACCAGTAACTAAGTCACTAAAGATGTGTAGTGGAGTGGATTTTGAACCTGTTCGCATCTGAGATCAGGATCAGAAGAAACCCAATAAAATAATGCTCCATCATCAGTGAGAGCCATGCTATGTACCATTCCAGCAGCTATGGTAACCACATGCAACCGTTCCTTTCTATGGAACTTCATTGGGGTGCTTCCAGCCTTTTTCAAATTTCTTGCAATGTGAACATGCCGCGGTGTAACAAGTCGATGGCCCCAAGTATATACCTGCAATAGCAGAATAATAGAAAGGATTTATTTTACTCAAAAGCCCAGGGCCAACAATGATAGAACCGTAGGATCCAAGACCTGGCCCTATTAAAGGCAATAAAAAATGCATTCATTTACTTAAACCCAAGTAGGTTAGCATTTGATATAAATTATATAATATAATGATAATATCAGCATATATCTGCTTATAATTACCTCTCCATCAGCTCCTAATACAATTGTGTGACATTTAGCAGCTAGTAAAAAATGCTTTTATGTACTTGAACCCAAGTAGTGAGGATTTGATATGAATTAAATATTAATGATAACAACATATATCTTCTAAAAATTACCTCTCCATCAGCTCTCAGTACAATTGTGTGACATTTTGCTGTTGCAACACCTTTAAAGACCTTCCCCTTCAAGGACTCAACTATTCTTGGAGTGTAATTAGATGCTGAGTTAGAAGTACCATATCCTAGTTGACCCTCTCTGTTACAGCCCCATGTGAAAACTTCACCAGCCTCAGAAACAACAGCAGTATGCTTGTTTGCTGCAGCAACAGCAACTATTCTTGATTTAAGTGAACTTACTCTACGAGGTGTCGGTTGGGTATCCACAGATGTGTAGCCAAGCTGACCCTCTACAAACATATACAAAAGTCCAGTGTCACAAATCACCAATGCCTACCATACAACAGCTCAAATAAAGAATCACATGTAACACTCATTTAGTCATTTCTTCATTTAAAATTTCAAATGTAGAATACAATGTGTCTAGGCTTCCTTTTCAATGATCAACCAAGTGAAGGTTTTGGCTCAAAAAAAAAAAGAATCAAGGTAGGCTGGGAATTATGTGGTCAAATAAAGGCAAGAACTTCACTTGACAATAGAACAAAATCATGTGTCAGCAAATCTTAATGGTAAACACTGACACCAATAAAAGTCTACCTCTATTGGATCCCCAAGTGAACACTTCCCCACTCTCTGTAGCCACAACAGTGTGATGTTTAGCTGCAGCAATAGCTTTTACCCGGCGGGAACCCAACCCAGAAGTTACCTGGCGGGGAGTGATAACTGCAGCTTGACCACTGAAAATTGCATAACAAAATCCTTATGACCGTTGACATTCACATGATCTCCAACAAAACCATAATAAGCTTAAAAAGGCAACTCTATATATGGTTCCTTTTTTTCCACAAGCATGACACCCCTTTATATAGTTCATAAGCTGGTTCAAACTAGCAGCAAAAGTGGGTTTCATTCTTTTTGTAGGAAATGCTCAGTGATAGTACACTGGCAGTGATAGGGATAAAATTGGACACAGCAAGCATGCACAAAAGACACAAATTCTTCCATTATTAATATACTATATATGCATATACATTTGAAGAATGGCTTCCATTTATTATCAAGTCCTACTATCTAGTTTGACATTTAAGTTAAATAATTTGCAATCAACAATATCCCTAACTTAAAATTTCCTTAACACTAATTCAAAACTAGAACATATGCACAAAATGTAAAATCAACAGCAGAGATACACATAGGATTGGTCAGGCAAAGGTTTGGATACCCATGCTATCAAAAAAATAAAAAAGTAATATCTAAATTTACCAATTATAATTATAATGAGCTCCATACTTCAATTATTGACAAAGATTTAAGACTTACATGTATGGATGCACAAGGTTCAAGAAAATCATTTACCTGTGGATGTCAAAGTCAGGATGCCCAAGGCGGCCTCCCCTTCCAAACCCCCATGTGTAAACTTCTCCACGAGCAGTGACTGCTGCACTATGGAATTTAGCAGCAGAAACTAGCTTGATAATAGAATCATGAAGTGAATCAACTTTGCATGGTAACTTTTGTAGGTGTGCATTTCCTGTTCCAAGTTGATAGTTTGCACCACTTCCCCAACTAAACACCTCAGTCACTACTAAAAACACAAAAAATATTGTAAGTTTTATTTGTATGCAAAAGATATTAGTTTAACCAAGTAATAAGAACCATGAAAATCACACAAAGACAGGACAGACAGTACCTGAATCATGCTCACTTCCGACAACCTGTGACACAGGTCCAGATAAGAGATCTATGGGTGTCCTAGACTTTGAGTCTTCCAAAGTGATAGAAGCACCAAACTGAAGGAGAATGCTTGCAACTGCAAGATGACCAAAATGCAGAGCTCTGTGGAGGCTACTCCATCCTGATTCTCCATCCTGAAATAAGCATTGGGAACAGTTGTGGTGAGTGACTTGGACCCAGTTTTAGCGCCCTAAAATCTAAATTGAATACCTCTTATTTCACATGTTCTACAATCATCCCTTCAAAAAATATGAAAAAAATTGCAATTCAAAAAGGATTTCACGTGAGAAATTCCATACTTCCCAGATTCATCCAGAAATGCTAAATATGAAGTTATTGAGATATTACTTACCATAATGATGCTTAGTCTCCAAAATTATTTGCACACAAAAACTTTATATAATGTATCACATCAGTCAAAGAAATCAAACGAAGAACAAATACATGTGATTTAAAAATCCTATTAAATGATATGCCTTAATAAGCAATAAAGATATAGACTATAGAGAAAAGCAGACTCAAAGTAAAGTTGTTAAAATCCCAATAATTAGATTCTACTTTTCTGATCTAGAGCCAAAAGTAGAAACTCTCTTACCATATGTTGTTTAAAGTATTCAAACTAGAGAATCAATATTTCTAGAAAGTGGAGAACTCAAATCTTCTAATATTCTGATAGACTCACTCTTTCCTTAATGAGATAAACAAAGTATGATGTTGGCGAAAATCCATTTCATGTTACTATACCCAGAAGGGGTTAGGGTGTTGATAAAAACTAGGTATTATCTTCAAAATTTTCACATTTAAGGCCATCTAAAAAATAAACTTCAAGGTTAACATTGGTAGGTAAAATCTTAATCCATCCAGCATTCACAATGAGCTTTCATTAAGGCTTTTATTCTCAATTGAATGTTCATTCTACCAAAATTTAATCTTGTTTCCTACTTTGTAGAATGTCATATCCTCATGAGAACTAAGACCAAGTGCTTATCTATCAAAAGTCAAATAAACTAATCATAAATGCATTAAATAATTAAAGTACAAGTTCAGCAACTCATTAATGGGTAAAATTATTTCCATAGAAGCTTAATTAGTAATTACCTTCAGAATCATTTTGAAACACCTCAACAAAACTAACCATGATGCTTTCAATTAGCAAAGCATCTAATAGCTCAGTGTCATACATTTACTTTCAATGAAAAATGAGTTAAGGTATATGATATAACATGATAACTACCAAGAAATGTATGCTAGAGCTAAGAAGTATAATAGCTTGTGTGCCAAAAAAAGGAATAAAATAAATGGATAATGGCAAAATCAAGGATGTCTAATTCTGTGTGTGTGTTCAATCTTATATAAAATACCTGATGAGACAAATGAGAAAGTACCAACAGTATACGTATTCATTGTAAAACTAAAACATATTCTAACAAACTATGAAAGAAGTTGAACAGATGACTTATGATGTTCTGCAGCTTTGTAGGCATCCAATTATAACTCCATAGAGCACAAACAAATTACAGGATATGAAAAGTAACATAGGATATACAAGTACAAACCCTAGCATCAGGATCAGCACCAGCAGCAAGAAGCCTCTTAATGATAGGAATGTGGTTTCTCCAAGTAGCAATGTGAAGGGGAGTCAAGCCATAAAGATTCCTTGCATTAACATTACCTCCATTCTTCTTCAATAGAGCCAATGCAGAATCTATATCAGCCAAGGACCCTTCTCGAGCAGCAAGCCACAGATCTTTGTGGGATCCACTAGGTGAGAATTTCCGCATGGATGTTTGCAAATTCTGCTTTTGCACTTGTGGTGAAACTAACACCTCCATTGGTGATTACTATTTATATTCAAAGAACAATCAGTGAATAATTTTTCAGTAATATTTTGACCTAGAAAAGATCAGTATTCAGGTGATGCTTGGCAAGATATATGCCTTGACAAGATGTCAAGATCCGGTTTCTACAAAATTCCTTCAAAAGGAGTTATTGGCGGCCAAGAAACTCCATATGGGTCTGGCCTTTTAGTAACTCATCATATCTGCTCCATTTATGCTTGAATCCAAGAAAATCTAGAAGCAATCTCCATTTAATGTAAAACTGACTCAAAAAATAGCTAAGAAACCAATCTCCACCAGTCCTTGCGTGAATAAAAATCAGTTCACACACAATTCAGAACCTCCCATCACAGTTCATGCAGCAGAAAGACATCCTTCATAAACTGGTTTAGCAACACCTGGATTTGAAATCGATCTTTCAGTATAAAGTTCCTTCTGGAAGAAATACAACAATGAAAGGAAAAAAGGAAAACACATATGACTGCAAATTGACCAAAAAAACAACAAAGTGACAGCCCAAGGGCGTCCTTCTGGAAATTTAAAAAAAAAAAAAATGAAAAAGTTATACAGTTACAGAAGACAAAATGGAAAAATTAAAAATAAAAATTGCATTGATCTCTATGTAAGCCTGAAAATTGATACAAATAGGATGAAAAGAAGAGAATTAACCGAGACTCGTAACTCCTGACACCAAGTTTATCTTTTTCTTACAAGATGCAGAAACCAAAGTAACAAACGCTTCAAACTAGACAAGATCCAATGATAAAAATGCAAACTTTAAACGTGAAACAAGAGAAACACCACAAGAAACATGGGATCAATCCTTTAGAGTCAGCACCCAGATCCAAAATCCATCAATTCAGACAACACCCATCACAATGTATTAAATCCACCAAAAAAACCCACAAATTTCACCTCATAACGCTAGAACAAGAACAAAAATAGCACAAGAAACGACATGCATCAACTGCCCCAGCACCCACCCCCACACATTGGCAGCTCATGAAATCCAATGCCCATGTTTCAATTCTCAATAAATAAAACAGAAACAATACAGAAATAAAGAACCAAGCTCAAAAACCACAACCAGAGAACTCATAATTCCCATTTTGGAGATTAAAAGAAATCCCAGATTTATGCACATCACCTGTGATTTGCTCAGATAAAAACTCAAGGATAATTTTGAGACACAGAACAAGAAGAATCTTTAAGGAAAATATGCCAAGTGATTGCTGTTACGTAGAGAATCGAACCGAGGAATATACCCCACGAAAAGGTCCAGAACCGGAAAAGCTCAAGAGACGAAGGAGAGAAGTGGGGGAATACTACAAGGGGAGGGGCAGTTTTCGGTACCGGAAATGTGTAATGACGATTGTGCCCTCTTGCTTTTGGCGCAAAGACGTGCATGAGAATCGGGTCCACGAGGGCTCTTGGTGCATCCAGAAGCTGCCACGTGGACGGAAACGTTACTTGGGAGATCGAACCGAAAGACAGCAAATATAAAGGGGAAGGAAACTCCGATGGGAAGGAAAATGAAGAAAAAGAAAAATTATTGAAAATGTTAACAGTCAAACTTTGTAAACTGACTAATTGTCCGAAACTCCTTGTTGAAATGACTAATATGCCCCAATTCCTTTCTTTTCTATTCCTTTCTTGTAATTTTCTTTTACGAAAGGGATAAGTTTTTTTTGTTTACAAGGAATATTACCTGAACTGAAAGTGTAAATGATAATATTAATGATTATGAAATCAGGATATAAATATTACTTCCTTACCTCAAAATAATTATTTTTTTTAAATTAAAAATTTAGAAATAATTGAATGATCACTCGGGCCTATAATATTGAACTTGGATTAGGCTCATTCTTTTTTTTATGAATTGTGCGTTTGACTTTCACAAATTTTTTTTAATTAATATGTAAATAATTATAGTTTGTTCAAAAAAATTTAGAAATAATTTATCTATTTATTTTATTATTTTTAAAAAAATTAAAAAATAAAGTCAAATTTTTTGTAATAAAATAATTAATGAAAATAAATAAATAATGATAAAATTAAATTAGAAAAAATATTTAAATTGGAAAAAATATTTATTTACTTTTAAAAAATAAAAAAATAATAATTTGAGATAAATTCAGAATAAAAAATAACAGTTTGGGACTAAGGGAGTACTCTTTCTATTTATTTTTAATAGATTTAATTTAATTTGTTAACTTTCCATATATAAATTTCAAATAAAAATTTAATAATTTACACAAATAACAATTGAAAAGCTTTTTCGCTATGTGAAGTTCTTATCAAATATTTTTATTTGATAAAAAAAATTTAATTATTATTTATATAATATATTAAATTTTTATCTAAAATTTATATTTAAAAAGCCAAAAAAATCAAAATTAACTCTACTAAAAATAAACGCAATAAAATATTTTCTATCACATATGAATTGATCCTAACTCTATTAGAGACAATTGATAACTTCATAGAATGAATCTTCATTCTTTTTTTCTTTTGGTTTGAACAATTAAATATCTTTGTATCAACTTACCCATCTTAAAACTAATACTTTTTTAAAAGAAAATTTAATAATTTAATAATTTTTAAACATTCTTAAAATTTGATACACTTTACATATTGTCTTAGAATATTAAAAAAAAAAAATTTTTTTAAATATTGATTCTAAAATTTAAATCATATACATGACCCTAGCAGTGAATCCAATTCATAAGTTACATCTTTGACCTTTGTTATTATTATTAAGGCCACTGGTAGGAGGCACGAGAACGTCTGGTAGTAGGCAACAGCTGCAACATTT